TGTATTATAAATTAGGCTTGCTCTATAAATCTGTGTAAACAATTTTAATTATTTTGATTTTCAAACACATAAAACAATTTTGTTATGTCATGAATACTATGTAATCTATGTAGTAATTTTAACAAAATATGTCATAGGTGTGTGATCCTTTTTTTAGACAATATAAGTCTAATTGAACATGTACGTAACTGTTTTTTTTGCCGTTTTTATAATATAAATAAACTGTTGTTTAAAACTTTATAATTTTTATTTTTGAAACCTTTGTTGGAAGTTCTACAAATCGAAAATTATTTTACTTAAATCGAGAATAGTTTAAAATACATTCATGCAAATTTTCATAAAATATGACATAATTCTAGAGGAGAGAAATGTAGTTTTCGCAGTGTAGCTACGTTCGTGTGTATTGTGAATAGTTACGTTTTCTCAGAGTATCTCTGTGGTGGAACTGAAGGTCAAATATTTCTGTCCCTTCTACTTCAAAGTTCCGACCATTAGTTTCTTTTCTGTGGTCGGGGTTTTTGTGAATTTAGAAATGTCATTAAAAAATTAGATTGTCAGAGGGGGTATTATGTTAGAATTTTTGGAGTTTGGATTGTTTGGATTTTTAGTTAATTATATTAGATATTGTTGGTGCGAACAAGAAGATGAGACCATCGAGCATATCCTTTACGATTGCCCGACGCTCTCATTTATTAGAAGATTTGTGTTCGGCGAGTATCGGCTAACACCGGCCGATATAAGAGAAGCGCCTCTTGACGACGTTGTCAACTACATTAATCTGTAGGCTGGCTGTCGAGCTAGGAGGTGCCTATCATCTTAGGAGGATGCACAATGGGCCTAATGAGGCCTAAGTGCCGTGGGGGTAACCCACCCTCCACAGATACAGATAGATATTGTTGGATTGATTTGAGAATTGTAAGAATAAAATAAAAAAGGCAAAGGAAGTTTTATTTAAAAAGTATACAGTGACAAATAGGTAGAGATAGATAGACGTTTACAAAAAAAAGAACAGGTAGAGGCAGGACAGATACACACGGCAGTGACAGGCAGACACGAACAGCACACACAGGTAGAGATTAGCAGATAGGAAAAGACTAGCAAATAGGCAGAGACAAGCGGACAGGTAGAGGCAATAGAGACAAGGAGCTAACGGGAAAAGAAGACTGAAGAATTTAAAAATGTATTTTTTATTTATTATTAAATTTGGTAAATACTTTTTTGTAAAATTTTTAGACCCCTTTTGAGAGTCTGGGCAAATTTATACAAAAAAATTGATATACAGGGGGTTTCTATATCAATATGTTAATAAAAATGAGCACCGAGTCAGCGACTTTCATCTCCAGCATACGACTTTTATTACAATATCATTTTTTACCATGAAAAAATTTCAGAATGTTTTTTCTCCCTTTTATAATTACATTAATTAAATTATAGTGATATTACATGTATTCAAGTTTTTTCATTAAAACATTATTAACAACAGAATACAAAAAATTAGAGTTACAAAAATGATTAAAAATATTGAGAATATCCTGATGCAAAAATTAACTTTTTTCAGTTTTCTCAATTTTTATTGATTCCAACAAAAATAAACTATCAACATGTATAGACCATCTGAAAGTAGACATTTCAACGGTTAAAATGAGCGCTTATAAAACCTTGAAATCCAAAAAAACATCAATAAAATTTTCCGTGGAAGTTTAGAGTATTTTTTTCGAAAAATGTAAATATCTCAGAAACTACTCGTTTTTTGAAATTCAAAAAATTCTTGCTTATTTAACACTAAAAAAGTTTTACTTTCACCAAATTTTATTTAAATTAAATTATTTTTACCCTAGAAAAAAATTAAAAACTGAAAAATCGGTTTTTCGCCATTTTCTCGGAAAATTTGAAGTTATGTTGAAAAACGTCATTTACAAAAGTTTTAGATTTTTTCATTATCTGCAACTTTTGTATTGAACATTTTTTGCTAGGAGCTCACGTTTCACCGCAAAACGCAAAAAAAACGTTTTCATTTCCTCAACTAAACCCCAATTCCACCCCTTTCCAATATCTCGTGTTTAAAAGTTTTTGGTTCTTTTAGTTATAACCCTAACTACATGTTCCACCTGGTCATTACCTTTCAAAACATCGGCACCGGCCTATAATATAATTGAATACACACTACACAGTATTTTAGATTATAAAGTCTGTTATGTGAAAAGATATTGGTCCCATTGTTAAGTTTTTCAGCATCCTGTAAAATTTGCTAAAACCTATTATAGCAAATTTTGACTTTACAATGACAATATTCTGTTTTATCTTTAAAAGTGGCAATCCTAACAATTTATTTTTTAGTAAATTATTTCACTTCTTATACGAAAAATTGATGTAGGTACCTACCAAGTAAATCTATTTAGAGCTATATAAAACTTTATCAAATACCTATTCTGTTTCAATATCTTAAACTAATGTCTATATAATGAACTTACATTAAGTATGAAAAATAATTTTTCTTATTTCTGGTTTATATGAAGATAAATCACTGTTTTCATTTTAAAAAAGCCACCATCTTTTAATTATGCAAGTAATTTTTTGTCGCCGTTGTCGTGGATATTGGAAATGTATAGATGACTTGATTAAAAAATTATTATAGAACAATTTTTGTTTACTACAAAAATATACCAAAATTGAATGTAGGTAATGAATTCAAATCAAGGTCAATGTCAAGGTCACTTTATTTACACAATAATTATACTTTATCATGCTTTCTTTTAATAATATCTCATTTAAATTTAATATACTGATATATTAGCACTTAATTCCTCTCAAACTTTTGTTCAAGACCATCGGATCCTTAGTCACATTGTCCTATTTTTAGAAATGCAGAAATACCAACCGATGTACCTATGCATATACCAGATACCTATTAGATTAAATGCGGATTTGGTTCTGCATTTTGTAAGAACTTACCATGCCTCAGTTAATTATATACCTACCCTATAAAACTATGAAAAACTAACCCACATCCTACAGCTCTTTTAAACAAACAAAAACTTTAGAATTAGGTACCTATCTCAGTTTCTCACTATAGAGAGTTTGTGGCTTTCTGCATAATGCCGTCAAATTGTAATAATAATGTAACTAGTGAGTAAATCTTTTCTAATATAACGAATTTAGGATATTACCCTGTTATCTTATGATGCTAGATGAATTATTATTTAGGAAATAACTCGAAAATATGCTGAGTATATTACTTAGTTGTTCAACAGTTTAAAATTTGAGTTTTGTTCTTACGAAAACAAGTATTTGTCATGAGAAAATTAGTTTTATATAAATATAGGGTACTTACAATATATGTTTCTAGTAATATTCTTTCAGTTTCCATTATAAATTTACACTTTTAAAATCACAGCTTCCAAACAGGCTTCTGCAAGCAAATTCAAATCGACTCGCCTGTTCTCGGCACCGATCGCTGAATCTCGTCACAGATATTAGACATTCGGGAAGGGCTCGTATATATGAGGGTTGCGACATAGTCTTGGATGCTATTTTTATTCGAAATAGTACTCATCAAGCCTGGTGATTTATGCAAAATGTACAATCAGTTTTTTTTTAATATTTTCATTGTGTTTGGTACAAAATATTTTAATTTAATCCATTAATTATAATTTCACGTATTGTGGAAAGAATAGATTGTATGTCACTACCTCGTAGATATACCAACCCTTCCCATTGACAGATGTACGACGGTGAGAAAGAGTAAAAGTACAATAAACAGTGCGGTACCGTATGAAAGGGGTAATATATTGTGAAGTTGGACGAAACACGAGTTATCAATCTAAAAAAATTAAATAATTGTATAGGACAGTCAATTAGGTTTAAAAATGTAATGCGTGCATTTCAAATTTTTAGATTAAATATATCTGGATGTCCTAAATTCTTCCTATTCATTCATTTAACTATTTTTATATTAATTATAACTAATTTATAATACATTACTTACCTAAAATTTTTTATTCTTTTTATAATTTAAACTAGGTTCACCTCGATTATTTTTAGATCAAGCTTAGTCACCTACAATTTGAAGTATTTTTCAGTTTTTTAACCGACTTCAAAAAAGGAGGAGGTTCTTAATTCGTCGCAATATTTTTTTTTTATGTATGTTCAGCGATAATTCTTTAACACGGTGTCCGATTTCAATGATTCTTTTTTTGTTAGAAAGGGGGTACTTCAGGGGTGATCCCACATAAATTTGGTCAAAATCTAATAATTGGGTCCATGAGAAAATCCTCAAACTCTTCATTTTTTATGTATGTTTAGCGATAATGCTTTACCACCTTGTCCGATTTATATGATTCTTTTTTTGTTAGTAGGGGGTACCTCAGGGGTGGTCCCATATAAATTTGGTTAAGATGTGATGATGGCATCTGCACGTTTTTGAAGTCGGTTTTTTTAAATTTTTAATTTCTAATACTTGTGTAAATAAATTTTTTATTGCACAATAATGATTGGGGAAACATATTTTTTGTAATCTAGGAACTCTGAACCGTGAAAAACTTAAATAATCTCGGAAAGTGACTTTTTATGATTACAATACATTTTACCCTGTGATTACAGAACTTCTTGTAGATATATTCTATAGCATATACTGTTTTGAAAGGTTTTAATTTCCCTCAACAACCTCTCACGAACGTTACATATACGTTGTATATTAATATTATTAGGTACATTCCCTTGAAACGAGACGTTATCTGCTAGCTCAATGCAGTGGTATGTAAAAGACATTTTTCAAATGTTGCTGACTTATCAGGTTTTTGTTCTTAAACAATTGTCGTTTTATTCACAGATAAAATAATTAAACACTCGACTCATCGACATAAAAATACTCTTATTTTTTGTAGTAACAAAGCAAAGAATGAAATACCTGATTAAAGATTACATTTTAATTTATTTATCAAGATTCTTTTGAGTGGCTATTTAAATTTAAAAAAATATAATATTAATACAATTATATGACTGATCTCTTAAAAGTAGGTACCTCGTTCTTTGTAAATTATTTTACAGAATATATTCCAAAAAGAAGTAAAATTTTAGTTAGATAAGTGCAAAGTAAATAAGGTAAGTAATATTTCTACAAAAACCTATGAAACACTAATTTTTTTATTTTTTAGGATTTTGTAAAATGAGGTTAGCCTTATGCCTTGCTTTTCTGTTGTCAGCTGCCCTAGCAGCCAACATGAAAATAAATCCCCTCTCAGATGAGTTCATCAATCACATTAACAGCCAACAAAATAACTGGAAAGCTGGCAAAAATTTCGATAAAAACATCCCTATTAGCGAAATTAAAAAACTTTTGGGTGCTCGTAAGCGCATTTCAAAATCGAAACTGAATCCTACTGTTCACAGTAAAGATATAGAAATTCCTGAGTCGTTTGATGCCCGTACCAATTGGCCAAAATGCTCTAAAGTTATTGGTGAAATTGCAGACCAATCTGATTGTGGTTCCTGTTGGGTGAGTACTTATATATTGATATGGATATACCACTAATAATTCAAATTTCACATTTTACTTTAAAATAATTTAATGAAAAAGTATAAACTGTTTGTATTAATTTCCAAAGCAAGTTAACGAAATGTCAGAGTCAGGCGAAATGTAACTTATAACAAACATTTCACTATTAATACAACTGCGAACGTTCTCATTCAGATCCTAACAGAACACTGCATTTATCGCGAATTGAAACTTTGCTATTAACACATGTCGATGGCTCAATCAAAAACCGCCACAAAGAAAATGATATGTTTGGTTCAATGGATGCAAAATATCATTTAGTTTTTATATTAAATACCACCACAAACAAAAATATCCTTAGAGATGCCCAAAAATCATTTAAAATCTAACCACAAACTGTATCTAAAACTTCCTCAATTCGGGTTATTTTCTGTAAAAACACCCAAATTTTTTACAAACTATGCAATAACTCGAGTTAGGGTACTTTTATAATCGTAATCGTTAATTTTAACAGCAAAATATCGTAGCTTTTAAATAAAATATAAAGATTTTATGTCAGAAACAAAATAATGATAATAGAGACTTACAAAACTTTAAAATTAAATTTTTCGAAACAATAGTACATATTCTAGTTGTGGCAGTATTTGATTGAGCCATCGATGTGTTAAGCCGATTTTACACAAATGAAAGTAATTGAATCAAAATATTTCACCTTACCCAAAACATTAACAAAATAATTAAATTACTATATAGATAAAATCTATCAAAGCCATTTTGCTCAGTGTTTAGAACAGTTCATTAGAATTGTTTTTTTAGTTTCAGTAAATTTAACTTCTTTACAGGCTGTATCGACAGCTTCCGCTATCAGCGACAGACGATGCATTGCATCCGGTGGTTCCTTACAAGTACCTGTTTCTGCCGAAGACTTGATATCCTGTTGTTATGCCTGCGGCTTTGGATGTGATGGAGGTTTCATGTACAGTGCATGGGACTATTGGATTCATACAGGTATAGTTACTGGCGGCAGCTATAATAGTTCTTTGGTAAGTATTTCTACTCAAAAAAAGTATGAGCAAGGAAGTCAAATGAAACCCGATCAGTTGCTACAAAGTGACTATGGAGTTTGTTTTATTCAAAAGTAACAGCCATACATTTATTTTATTGATCCTACCAGTGTAATAGAAATAAGTAGGGCGCTGACCACTGCCTCTCCCAATTTTGCAGTTCCTCGTCTGACTGAAACCGAGGTTCATAAATGTCTTTCTTAAGACCACCAAAAATGTCAAAATCACAAGAGGAAAGATCTGGGCTGTAAGGACGATGTTTAGGTGTTTCCTAGCCAAACTTATGAAGCTTATTAACAGTCTGTGGAAGGGCCTTATCATATAAAATGTTTTATGATGGGGTTTTTGATTTTCATTTGACTGCTTCTCATATTTGACCATTGCAGAAAGACATTTCTGACATTTTCTAATCGTAAATATTACATTATCCAGTCAAGATTTTATAAAAATACCTAATACTTTTATTGTCTTCCTATTTAAGGGGTGCAAACCTTATTCGCTTCAACCATGTGACCACCATGTTGATGGTCAATACGTACAGTGTTCAACTTTGTCTTATGGTACACCAGACTGTACAAGTAGTTGTAGCTCCAGTGAATTGAACTATAAATCTGAACTGACTTATGGCAAACATACGGTAGAAGATTTTATTGAAGTTGAAGACGTACAGAGAGAAATTTTACAAAATGGACCTGCTACGGCTTCTTTTGATGTGTTTGAAGATTTCTTGAGCTATAAAACTGGTAAGATTTTTATTAAAAATTCAATTTTATACAATTTCCTTACAAAATTATGAAAAATACGCCCTAATATCCTCAAAGTGAAAACAAATCTAAAAATAAAAAAAAAAAAAAACGAATACATCGGCCAGGAGTCGAACCTTAGACCTCGGACTTTAGCCGTTCATTTTCTTACCAACTGAGCTACCAAAGCACATAACTTTTTTAGCTTTGTCTTAAGTGTTGCGAATGTGGAAATGGAATCTGCAACAAACGCCGAAGAGTTGTTAGGTTTATTTCTGGAAAAAGGGAGCATAGAATACAGCAACGTTGCTATGTTTGTTCGTTTTTAGAGATGTTACTGTGTCTCTGAGACTCCGTTACTCTTTAGGAATGTGATTGCCCAACGCTCAACATAAGAGAGACACCTGTTGGCGGCTTTGTCAACTACATAAAATCTGTAGAATGGCTGTAAGAAGTATGTTTCATCAATTTAGAAGAATTCATATTAGGTCTAGTAAAGCCTAAGTACTGATAGGCATTCGATCTGTTCAGTAGACTATTCATTTTGTAGTTTATACAGAAAATAGATGTGGATGTAGAAAAATAAATATACTTATCGGATATATTGATACATGGATGATTTTTCCCAAAATATTTTGTACCGATTTGGTTAAACAACGTAATAGTAAAGTTGTATTCGAATAAATATTCGCATTACTAATTGTACCTACTAATTTTAGGTGTCTACCACCATGTTGTTGGAAAATCTTTAGGTCATCATGCAGTAAGACTGATTGGATGGGGTACGGAAAACAACGTTGATTATTGGCTAGTGGCTAACTCTTGGAATGAAGATTGGGGAGATAACGGTCTATTTAAAATCAAAAGAGGCGTTGATGAATGTGGTATCGAAAACGAGATAAATGTAGCGCAAGCTAAAGTTTAAATAATTATACGTTTCAATAAAGTTGTATTGATTTCTTAATATTTTTGTTTTAATTTAACTTTACTTTATAGTACTGTTCGATAATGGATTTATTTTCTTTATTAATTTCTTAGTTTAAATTCGCGTTATCTATTTTGACACTTTGCCCCACCTAAACGGTTCATGCTTTGGACCTTTTCGAAGAACCAAGAGAGTTCGATGTACCGCCAACGAAGTAACAAGTTCGCTCGACACCGCTTAATTTTTGTGCCTTCGTTTTATGTGTTGCTCGCCTACGATTCCAATATTCCAAAAAAGGTAAGGTGTCAAATACGTTAATTAATTTATTTAGTTTTATTATTTGAATCAGCCCTTTTGGAAGCATAACATCCGTTCTGTCTCAAGTACATAATCAAAGAAGATTTCTACATGTGGAATTAATGAAGTAATCATTAATATTGTTAAAAAACAATGTAATAGGTTTGTTTTGATAGTCGGAAATCGAATTGACGTACAGTCAGTTGATGAAATATCAGTAGCTTCATGAGATTTTATACGTATACCTAAAAATAGGAAGCAAACAGATTCGTTGTTATTGGCTCGTTAATAATTCTCTTGAGGTAAGAGGTTAAACATGTAAGCGGATTCGTAACGATACATTGATCTTTTTCCCAGATAAACGTATAACATGCCAGTTTGAGTCAAAAATACAACAATTAGGATAGATAAAATGTACAACTTAGGTACCACGAATAAATTAATGACCCCCGACTATTATGATAAGTTGAATTAAATACTATAAATGACAATCGGTAACAAATACAATCAGTATTCAATAAATAATAACTTCAAAAGCTTATATCAGCAATCTAAAATGGTTAACCTTTTTACGTTTACTAGACAGAGGTAGGTCGAATTTAATGTCGAGTATTTCGAACTGTCAAAAATACACTTTACATCTCATGATACAAAAAATAAATCACCTTTTAACAATTACAATACTTAGCTTTTACCCTGTAATTACAGAACTTCTTGTGGATATATTCTATAGCAAATACTGTTTTGAGAGGTTTTAATTTCCCTCAACAACCCCTAACGAACGTTAATGTTATTAGGTACATTCCCTTAAAACAAAATTGTAGAATTGTTAGCTCGGTGCGGTGGTATGTAAAAGTAATTTTTGAATGTTGCTGACTTATCAGGTTTTGGCATAAACATTTAAAAAAATTACAGTCTTTTTCATTGATAAAATAATAAAACACTCGTATCATCGACATAAAAACCCCCTTATTTTTTTGATGTAACAAAGCAAAGAATGAAATACCTGATTAAAGATTAAATTTTAATTTATTTATCAAGATGTTCATGAGTGGCTATTTAAATAAATAAAATATAATATAAATACCGATCTCTTAAAATTATCTTGTTCTTTTTGAATTATTCTACAGAATATACCACAAAAAGAGGTAAAATTTTAGTTAGTGCAAAGTTTATTAAAATAAATAAGGTAAGTATTATTTCTACGAAAACCTACAAAACACTCATAATATTGATATTTTGTCTATTTTAAAAGATAAAAAGTAGTAATCGGAACTATAATTTGTTAGAAAAACGTTCATATACTACACTTAGTCACAGTACTGAGTTTATAGCGGAAATGTCTTCCATTTCAAGAATAGAGCAAAAGAACCTTTTTTAATTTTATAGTACTTACTCTTTACAGATGGGAAGCATTTTTCTGTGGGCCTTCAGGCGACTCTCAAAATTATTCTATTTGAGTACTGTAGGGTTCTTACCTACTAAAACCCCCTTCTCTGGGTTCGTACCATAGAGTGATTGCATTATTCTTGAGAAGATTTATCGTGCATACTATGCGGGCTTACATTTATCTATCCTCAACTATCTTGCCTGGTATTGCTTTTATTCCTTCTCTTTTTCCTGCATAGTATTGTTTCCAGCTGCAGTTTTTTTGAAGTATTTCTATTGTTATATTATCAGCAATCAATGGCGAGCCTAATACTGCTTCTAAACTTACTCTTACACTTTCTTATCTTGTGCATTCGAACTAAGTATTGATAACTATGTCATATTTACACAGGATGCCGCCTGTCTTTTCGATTCTGTGTGTATAGCTTCTGAACAGCTCCATTCTGATGGTTATCTGACTCGTGCATGGATGCATTCGTGAACTGCACTGCGCATGTCATGTCAAATAGCACGAACAAGAAGAGACGTTCAAGTGCGCATGTGCTGTTAAATTGTATAGGCAATGAAGTTCTGATCGTTCTGAAAAACCGCTGACAAAATCATGTACGAATCAGAAAATATGTCGGAAGGTTTCATTGAATTATCCGTGGCTTTGTAGGAACGGACTATTTTCAATGTCCATGTGTTTGACGTCCTTCTGATGATCAGATTAACTGTTGGAACAAACCTTTTGTATCCCATCTATTTTGTTAGGATTATAAAACTTCTTCAACTCAAATATTTTCTTCTACTTTTTGATGTAATCTCCATCCTTCGTCTGCCAGTAGATTTTGTGGGATACAACCAGTGAATACTTTTAAATAAAGTTTCCTCTAAGAAGTGCGAGTGTGCGGCTGCGCACTAATTTTTCGGAAGTTGCCTAGCTGTTTCTGTATCTTATACACTTTTACATACGTTGCTTCCACCGCTGGCATCTATTTTTATACAGCGCTAGAAATTAGAGTGAACATTGGTTGAGAATTGTCTACTGGTACCGTCCTATAAGCTGAAGCTACCCTTAGCCGCATTTTACGTTGGGTAGTGATGGTTTGGTCTTTATATCTTTCAACTTGTGTTATCCTAGTCCACCTCGATGCGGCATAGAGTATGGTCGACTACCTAACTTTGTTCAGCAGAAGATTCTTGCAGATTCCAAGACCTTCAATATTTAGCATACTTTTTGTTGATGCTGTAATTTGTTTCTCAGCCTTTTTCAGTTAATATGTTTATAAACTATAACTGTATTATCGATCCAGACTTCGAGGTATTTTACAAGAGTTATAATTTCGTTATAGGACATCGTTTCTTCTAACCTCTTACAATAACACCTTCAGTTTTCTCTGGAACCAAGCTTTGATTGTCGCTTTTCATTCAGTCTTGGATTTTGCTTAGGACTATGTCGTCGGCATTATACATAAGGCCGTCTTTCGTATTGGTCTTTGTTATCAGTATAAGGTCGTCCGCATATTCCATAATGTGACAACCTTTGAGAAGCTTTAACTATAATTCTCCATCATAGAGAACGTTCCACAGAGGCCTAAGAACCTAGCCTTGTGGGATTACGTGAGTCATCTTGAAATTGAATTTCTCTATTGTACCTTCCTATTTTATTTATGTATTGCTTTAGACTTTCCATGATTTTGCTCCAGATTGCGGTTTTGAAAACTTTCCTGACTTCGATTAGAATGAGTGTTCCAATATCTGGTTTCCTCTCTGAAAAAATACTGGTGTTACTTCCGAATATTTCTTTGGTAAAAATGTTCTGTAGCATATGTCGCTGGTGTTAGAAGAATTGGGTTCTTTTGTAGAAATAACTAACGAGTCATAGGTAGTAGAAAAAGAAGTGTTTTTAATTTACTATTTTCACTGAAGTAAATACATAGTGGTTGATTCCATTTAGATATAATAATTTTCTTATCTTCACTAAACACTTTTAAATATTTACAATTTTAGTTCATCACAATTTGATTAACTAGTATAGTTGATTTTTTAGTTACCAACTTGAAAACATTTGTTTGTAGAATTTCTTATGCCATAATAATTGTAGAAGATATAACTTGCACCAGAAAATAAACTGCATTAAACGCTTGTAAAAATGTAGAAAGTAACGTGCCGTCGGCAGAAAGCACTTGAACGTTCGGATAGTAAACAACTGTGAGCGATGATGGCAAAAAGACAACTGATTCTTTGGTGGCACTAAGACAACTACTGAATGATGGCAAACATACAACTCAACTGCTCGCGTCGAGCTCACCCTAATATATACTGTTGGGACGAAATGAGTGTCCGGAGCATAGTTCACGCACCTATTCGGTTTCAACCAATGAAAACATCATGACATAATGAAATACGTCATTTGTGCTTCGTTCACTATGCGCCGGACACTCATTTTGTTCCAATGCACCGCTGTGCACTTGAAAACACAGGTGTTCGACGTTCGGTATTCTGAGAAAAATGCTATTTATAGTTTTATGACTTCACATTATATTAGGGTAAAAAGCAGTCGAACTATTTGAGAATTGTTTATTTATTTAGTAGGTGTAAAATATTAATTTGTTGATGTTTTTACTGGTGAAATTGTAGAATTTAACCACTCTCTTTTACACTTTCTAGAACGTGTTGAATTGCATCTACCTTTGATTTACCTCTTCTGAAGATTACCTATAAATTTATAAATATTAATAGTACTAGTACCGCTCAAACTCGAAATTTTTAAAAAAGTTATACTTTATCAGAAAGATAAATAATTGTTCGAAACAAAATGACTATTCTGACTACAAATAACGTATTTAAAGTTACGGACTTTAATAAGTTACTGCCTGGACTTGTAATCTAAAATGTTGAATCTACTTCTAATTCTATACATGTTTTTAAAATATAATTTTTTCTATAGTTACACGAATTTTACAATAATTGAAAATATATTTTTGTGACTTGGATTTAGATATTTTTTATTTTTAGGATTTTTCAAAATGAGGATAGCCTTATGCCTTGCTTTTCTGTTGTCAGCTGCCCTAGCAGCCAACATGAAAATAAATCCTCTCTCAGATGAATTCATCAATCACATTAACAGCCAACAAAATAACTGGAAAGCTGGCAAAAATTTCGATAAAAACATCCCTATTAGCAAAATTAAAAAACTTATGGGTGCTCGTATGTACGTTTCAGAATCGAAACCTACACCTACTGTCCATAGCAAAGACATAGAAATTCCTGAGTCTTTTGATGCACGTACCAATTGGCCGAAATGCTCTAAAGTTATTGGTGAAATTGCTGACCAATCTGATTGTGGTTCTTGTTGGGTGAGTACTTA